TAATACTCACCACCAGTTAGACTATCCCTATTCTAAGAGTTTCCACAGAACAGCCCCCTTGAAGTCCCAGTGGAGTCACCAGCAAAGATGTTACCAGGGTAGGGGGAATTGGGGACTGGACAGAGCTACAAAAGGCTAGAAAGTCATGGATTCAACAAGAGTTTATTCAAGAAAGTGAACCTGCAGGGGAATGATGCCAGCTTCTCTCCAAACTCACAGCCTCTGGAGGTTTATAGATCTAAAGACAAAGGGAACATGTGGAGGAACATGTGGGAGTAGTCTCCGCAGGTTCCTGGAATTTGTTGACATCTTGCGGTTTGGGGATTTGGATGTTATTTCCTGACTCCTCATTTCTCTGGTTGTGCTCATTTAATAGCCAAATGGAGTCTAAAATTTCAAGACAAATTCTCTTGAGAAGGCATGATGATCAAGGCCCTGGTTTGAGACCCAGGTCTTCTCTGACATACCATACTGAGGTTAACAGCCAACCAAATAAGTGGTTATTGTGCCTGCCTTGTATGCTAGTTATTTTCCACTTTGGTTTGTGGGTCTCAGAATTTACCAGGCTTCTCAAGCTCCAGGGGGCATAACAATTCCAGTTATTCTCTTAAAAAAAAAAGGGCTTGGCTAAGTTTCCTTTCCTTCCCCAACTGTGCTTTTCCAAGACACTTGTTTGTCAAGTCTTCATTCTTTGTCCCTGTGTTTATTCTTTCTCCCTGATGATTGTATCTTTCTCTAACATCACCATTATTACACCATAATCTGTAATAATACCTGTGAATTAGGGAGGGAGGGAGGGGAAGAGGGAGAGAGAAAGAGAGTACTCCTGCTGTGGTGTTGTGGGTTTATGCGCTGGACTGCAAAGTTGCTTTGAACCCCAAGATCAACAGTTCAAGCTCACCAGCTGCTCCTTGGAAACCCTATACAGGGTTCCTATGGGTCAGAATCAACTCAAAAGGCACTTAGTAACAACAAATATATACATATATTTGTTGAATTAATAACAATTTTAGAAATCTCGTTGAGAACAATATTTAACAGCAAATAATTTATTTAGAAATTTTTGACTTTAGTTAAAAACAGGCTAAAATAATATTTTAATTTTTAATCTT